AGATGAGAGAGACAAACCGTGCTCCTATCTCATACCGGAATACAAAAGGTTGTAGGTATTTCATAATTATAGCAGCAAGGAATTCAGTGTTACAGCAGGGGCACAATAACACTGAAAAACTAAGTGCAGATGACAAGACAATGTAAATTGGATATATAATAATACAGCCAAAAATATACATTTACATGGAAACCATTAAGAGACAGATGGCTGGCAAGCAATTTTCCCTATGGCATTCGTAAATGTCCATCCGGTGCTTGTATTTGGGTCATTTGCTAGCTAATCCCCATGTGGCAGTCTCAATGGAGGTGAGGCAAAGTGGTCTCTACTGGCTTCACCTAATTTTAATTTACTGTTGAGATGTACTTGTTCAGCAAAATGAACCAATTCTACATAGAGTTGATTAAACAATCAAAACAGCTAAAAAATAAAATGTCACATAAAATATTTCATAAGCTATAAATTGGGTCCACTTGCATTTTTTCGGTGTCTTATAAACTGGGAAGGAAATTAGAGTGAAAAAAAACAAAACACTCGTACACATTGGCTTCTTCCTGTATAGTCTTGATGATATATCCTTTGATTCAAAGCAAACTTCTCCCTTCTTTACTTTGATTTTATAAGTAATTCTTTGTAAACATACTTTAAACACCGGGCATTCCTTCAATGGTTGCACACACTAGAATTTTAAGGTACCAATAGCATATTGGTCGAAGGCAAGTTATTCAGGGGAACTTTCTAGAGGCAAGTTAACAGAGATTGATCATTTCACAAAAGATCATACCAGGTCAAAAACCCAAACTGACAGTGACATTAAAAGACCAAGGAGAAGGCACAGTTGAATAGCTTTAGAAAATAAAGTTTTTAAAAAATTTGCTAACATGCCTTACATCTTCCATTCCTTCTTTTAAAATACTGTTAATCAATGACTTTAAGGAAGAAACGTCTTAACTAGTGTTTCCATAAAAATAAAGATTTACATTTATATCCAAAAGAAAAACTAAATTAGGAATGTGCTATGAAGAGCTTGGAGTAGTTTTAATTCAAGAGCAGAAATTTCTGCCATGGAGTTGTTTCTCCAAGTTTCACACAATTATTGCAAAATGGAATAGCTAAGAAACATAAAGGCAATGTTAATGATCATGGTTGGGTTTAACAAATGCAAAATCAGCAATAAGGTAAAAAAAATGTTCAAAGCGGCCACAAATCCATTTCCCACTTTCAAAACCTCCAACTGACTTTTTTTTTTTTTAACGAGTGCATTATTTTACTCATGTGAGAATAAAAACATGTACTAGTTGCATTATCTTATTTACTAGTTATATGACTTAAAGGAAATGCCTTCAATTAGATGGTAAGTCAAAATGAAATCAGACTACAAAACAATAGTTAGGGTTTACTTCTATTGCTTTGAAGTAAACTGACTCCTCTTTTAGTGTTATCTCTATGCAAAGCATATTAACAGTACTATTTTTAAAGAGGATGAAGGGAAAATGATGTAATATTATCCTTGCCAAATACATGACAGAGCAGAGAATTTGGGGTCAGCCAGTTGTTTCCACTGACCTAAACACCAAATTTCTCCAGAAAATGAGAGGGTCCTTCGAGAAGTCATATGCAACATGATTTAAAGTCTGGCAAAAACTGCACATTTATAATTCCAATTTGACTCTAACCACAACTTAAGATTCAATATAGTCATTACTAGATTGGAGGCAAGGGGAAGAGGAATGAAGTTGAAACCATGTATGCTTTTTTGATCAGATAGGATGAATTCTACTCTTTTACTGTTTGTTTCATCACATCCTAGCCATATTCTTGAGTTTAGCACAGAAAAACTTGTAAAATATTAAATTTTACCATAGGGAAATTGATTCTGCTATAAAAACGTTTCAGATTACCATTTAATCTCAACCAAACTACATCAAACACTGCAAGTAATTATATATATCGTTTTTAAAGTAAACCTGATCACTATACTTAAAAGAAATGATAACTTTGAGAAGTACCACAGCAATAATCTGTAAGCTGAAGCAATATAAAGCCCTCCTACAGTAAATGCCAGATTCTTCAGCTAAAATGCACAGTCTTGATTTAGTTAAGCAAGTCAAGCGTAAGAGCCACCTCCCTCCCTGAGTGCAGCTCTTTTGCTTCCAGCCCTGCCCTCCTCACAGAGCTGTATTTCACAGAAGTTCCTGGGGGGGCAGCGGAATCCACAGATGTAGTTTAAACAAAGTTTTGAACTTGGGCCTTTGTAGTCTGAAATGGAGTGATGGAAATAAACACATTCTCATCATCCTACAGTTTCCACTGCCTCCCCAGCCCTCTTCCCCCTTCACACCCTAGTGAGTGAGAGTAGTTAGAAAGTACTATATCTGAAAGCCACAACTTGCAGTGCACCTTGGCACCAAATCACCTGAACATGCTGTGCAGACACCAAGTTCCAGGATCCTATTAATATGTATTTCACGACTTCATAAAAACCAAGACACATAAAAACCAAGTTTAGCCCTAACCGGTTTGGCTCAGTGGACAGAGTGTCAGCCTGTGGACTGACGGGTCCGGGTTCTGATCAAGGGCACATGCCTGAGTTGTGGGCTCCATCCCCGGTAAAGGGGCATGCAGGAGGCAGCTGATCAATGATTCTCTCTCATCATTGATGTTTCTATATCTCTCTCCCTCTCCCTTCCTCTGAAATCAATAAAAATATATTTAAAAAAACAAACACACAAGTTTGATACGTTTAAGACTTCATACTCTCAGAAGTATGGGATTGCATATGCAGGCCTGCCACTTAGAAAATTAGAGTCAAGTACACTTCAAATTGTAGCAAAAGTATAATTTGTATTTACAGACCCTCCATATCATGTCATATATAATATCTAGATATCATATACTGACCATGCTATCAACTAGATGATATGAGCAAATCATCACACTAAATTCATCTAAGTAGCGAGGTACAGGTCAGCAAATCTGACACCCCCTTCAACCTATAGCATGTAGAGAATTTATAGCAATGGTCCACCATCAAAGCACAACTAATTCATCATCACACTTGCACCATTCTTCCTTAAAGTTACAAAGGCCTACCAATTCTGATTGATGATCAAAAAACACAAAATAAGCACTAAGTCTATAGAAAAAAAATGTACCTGAAAATTTAGTTTAGTTTCAGCCTTAACCATTACAGGCTAGTTTCTTCTGACAAATACTTTTCAAAGAACTAGATAGCAAAAAACAGTAGCATACAAGAGGCATGCCAGATTTGCCACAGTGTTCTATAAAAGTTACAATAGTACAACAAGTTACTTTTTCATAAGCTGTATATTCTTGGCATAAATGCTTACTATTGGAACTGTCCCCAACAGAGCCAGTCACTGCCCAAGATTTGTCCCTGAACTTATTTTGTGAAAAGTCACCCTTCTTTGGAAGCAAGAGATTTTTCTCCCATTTACCCTAGAAAGAGCAGGTGCACTGTAACCCAAAATTGGAGGGAACAGAAGCAGCCCCCCTCACAGACCACTTACTTCTCAGAGCATGGAGCATAATTGCTAAGATCTGCACATTGCTTAAAAATTGAGGGAAAGTTTATGTCTAACAGGGGCTTCCTAGCAACTAGCCTCTGATAGACACTCTATAAAATGCATTAAGAAGGGTTTGCTGGATGTCTTTGCAGGGACTATCAGGGGATTTCATAATAGACATGTGGATGTGAACCAAAATTCGCTGACTGAAGGTATACATCCATGAACATGCTTTTAGTCAGAGAGCGGGCACACCAGAGAATATAGAACATGGCTAATTACTACCAGGAGAAGATTTTGCCTTCACCTCCCCTCACTATCAAACTCTTTTCCTAAGTTCACTCACTGCCTCGCCCTGACCCTAGGGAACCATTCACTTTCCATAGCCCAGAGAGGCTGCTGAAAAGCTGTCAAAGTAAATCTGTGCTCACTTTTTGGATAGTTTAATTTCAATGGAGCATGAAACACCCCAGGACGGTTAATAAGTTTAGCCAGGCGTGCTGTTCTCCCTAATATATTTTAATTATGCATCTGTTTTAATTGTAATCAGATTAAATCACTGGAAAGACACAAATTGGAATTTTCCCTAATGGCTATTGGAGCTTTTCATCAGTTTCTAAACACTAACAACGTTTAAAAAATAGGTAGAGCCACAAGCACAACTATGACATTTTCCAGAAATCGATGCAGTTTCTTTGACAACACAGTTCAGGTCTCATTAGCCACCCAAACGAACCCAAATGCAGAAGACAACTTCAGTCTCTAGGGGCGTCTTCTTCCCCAATTAGCACAAAAGAATCACTAATGTCTAATGTGAAACTCACAAACAGAAATGAAAGCCAAGCTTTTATAAAGTGCTACTCCATCGATTAGGGAAAGAGGCAAGGGGAGGGGGGAGGCAGCGGCGGGGGGAGGGGGGAGAGCAGGGGAGACCATCAGCAGCATTATCTTGGCTCCAAGTCAAGTACACTACACGTCAAAAGGGAAAGTTGAAGCAGAGTACGATCCTCTTTCCATTATTTTGGCAACTGTCAAAGGTGTGTGTTACCCTCGGGAAATAAAACTGTCCGTCCCATCAATAAACGGAAACGTTACGGGGAAGATCTATTAGGGGGCGGGGAACAGCTTCCCGACCCAGACGTAAAATCACTCAATGTGCTTTTGTTGCACCAAGGAATACCTAAGACTTTTTCTTTAATGCGTTCATTAAACAGTTTCCCAAATTGCTGCGATTTCCGCTAAGAAATTTAAACGTCTGCCAACAGCCGAAGAGTCAAGGGAGAGAACCTGCTGCAAACTAGGAACCCAAACTCCTTCAGCCCGCCCAGCGCGCTCGCGTCCCGGCTGTTCCTGCTTTAAGGTGTTAATTTTGACGCGCCTCCTAATTCAGGTGCCGGATTAGTTGCTCCAGGAGGCACTTCCAGCTTTTAAAGCGGGAAGCTTCGGGGTCACCCCTCCCTCTCACCCCCTTACCTGTCATCATAGCAGAAATCCGCGCTTAGGGTGTTGAGATACAAGGCGAGCCCCAGAGCGCTGCTCACCAACTCTGCAATCATCTCTCCACCGCCTTCCCTCCGGCTCGGCTCCCAGCGCGAGGGCAGCAGCGGCAACAAAAAACAGAAGCATCAATCCCCACCTTCCTCCGCCTTCTCCTCCCAGCTTCACTTTTCCCTCGCTTCCCCACCCTCCCTTCTCTCCCTCCCTTCCTCCCTTGGGTCCTCCCAATCCACGCGCTCTTCCTCCACCTCGGCCCGTCGCCGCGGCTCCGGCGTCCTCCCGGGGTGCGGGCTCACACCGCGCTCCCCATGCCCGGCGCCCGCGAGCGGCGTTCGGGCTACGCGCCCTCCGGCGGAGGCACCGGGCTGGTCTTCCCCGCTGCCCGAGGCCCCCACCCTAACCCATGGCCATTCGGGGCGCCCTAGGTGAGGAGTGGGGACGCGGAGGAGGCGGAAGAGTGCGGGATGGGGGCCGACGGACCGGTCCGAGCCGGGCTCTGGGACCACCAGCTGGAGGAAGAGAGAGAAAGAGGGGCGGGTGGGAGGGACGAGACGACCCGCCTCCCCTCGCCGCCTCCCGAGCGCAAGGATCGGGTGCCGCTCGGGCTGACTCCGGCCGCCACAGCGGCGGCAGCTCATTCACTCTTTATTAGCTCTCGGCCAGTCCCAGCCCCTTCTCCCGTGAAGTGAGGAGCGGTGGTTGGAGACTAGAAGCTCCCGCGTGGGGTTCTCGGCGCTGCCCCCGCGCCTGCGTGGCCAACCCTCCTTCCCGGGTTTGCTCAGCCCCTTTCTCCGCCCCGACGCCCTCAGGCCCCGCCCACACCACCCCCACCCCCGGCTGCAGGCTCCTCCCACCCGCCTCCCGCCTCCCGCCTCCCTCGGGTTTCTTTCACCTTCGATTTCCCGGTGGAGAGCCCGGGAGACCCCAGGGCGACGGCTGGAGCCCCGCCTGCGGGGGGAGCAGGAGGAGAAACTGGACGCAGGGAGGATGCGCGCGCTCGCCCCGCCGCTGGGGCGGCGCCTGCCACAGGCTGGTGCCCAGCCCAGCCCGAGCGCGGCCAGGCGCGAGTCGGGTCCGCGGGAGACTTCTGGGGACCGGGAGAGGAGGAACAGGTTTGGCGAGTTCGGCAGCCTCGGTTGCCACCAACACACACGCGACCTCTCTGCTGGGTTGGCGGGGAGGATTTAGGAGAGATTTCAGTTCCGAGCGTACCGTTGTCTCGGGTGTCAGTGGAAAGACGTGTAGGGAGGAGAATGTTCCCGCAGTAGGTTAAACAGAAAAGACCCCCAAAGAGGAAAGAAAGACACGACATGCTTCAGGGGAACTGTCAAGCTGACCCTGAGGACACAGAGAGGAGCCGCCTCTACCGCACTATAACCTAGGAAGGCGGGAAGCTAATGCTTTCCTTCCCGCCCGGATCCGGGACTGGATGGAAGGCGTCCAACGTGATGAAATGTGGTAGAAGAATGGCCTTGTAGAACGAGCTCTGGATACTAAAGTTGCGAGACCAAAAAGGACCACGGGCTGCCCGCCACACCTCCTGGCTTGGCCCTTTCCGCAGTCGAGTGGCTCTCGTGGACTACGATGAACACTACTACGGCGGCGCCCCCTGCCGCTCGGCAGCCACCATGCATGGAAAACAAACCTGTAGTGGGGGCTGACTTCCCTCCTCGAACCCCCTCCCTCCAAGGGCAGCACCTAACCAGCAAGCTCTCCAAACCTGCGGCAAGAAATTGAGCCCCCTGGATGTCTGGCAGTGGCCTGGAAAGCAAATACTGTGGTTTGGGCGTCTGTAAAACAAATCTCCATCTTTTCCTAATTTCACACAGATGAAATGATGAATATTCATTGAACCTATTATGCCAGGCAGGATGGACCCATTTTTGTGCCTTGGGAAAAACAGGAAATAAACATACATAAAAGGAAATTGTATATTTTAAGGCAGGGACTGGTCGACTTTCTTGTTTGTTTGTTTGTTTTAATTGATTTCAGAGAGCTGAAGGGAGAGGAAGAGATAGAAACATCAATAATGAGAGAGAATCTTCCATGGGCTGCCTCCTGCACGCCCCCTACTGGGGATCAAGCCTGCAACCTGGGGATGTGCCCTGACCAGGAATGGAACTGTGACCTCCTGATTCCAGTGCTCAACCATTGAGCAACACTGGGCAGGCTTACTATTTTTTTTCTCCATAACCTCTGCTCATTGTTGAAAAGTTTTTTAAAAATCCTACCAATTGACTCATCAAAGTCTTCTTCACAACACTTACATGATCCTAGTACACTAGAGGAAGAGCACCCTACCTCTTGAGTCCCCACTCTGCTCTTACTATCTAGGCCACTTTAGCCAGTCACAACCTCTCTGAGCCTCAGTTTCTCACCCATAAAACAGTGATGATAATAATACCTAACTGTGGGTAGTATTATTATGAAGATTAAAGTAGTTAGAAGAGTTCTGAATGCAAGAGAAGTGTTCTCTATTATTATTACTATTACTAGAAGCCCAATGCATGGATTTGTGCACTGGTGGGGTCCCTCAGCCTGGCCTGTGCCCTCTCACAATCTGGGACCCGTTGGGGAATGTTGGAGATCCGGTTTCAGCCCAATCCCCACAGGCCCGATCCAGACAGGAGGGAGCCCAATCCTGTGCGTTGAGCATCTGTCCCCTGGTGGTCAGTGCACGTCACAGTGACCGGTTGTTCAGTCATTTGGTCGCTTAGGCTTTTATATATAGACTAGAGGCCCGGTGCACAAAAATTTGTGCACTTGGGGGGAAGGGAGGGTCCCTCAGCCCGGCCTGTGCCCTCTCGCAGTCTGGGACCCCTCGGGAGATAACGACCTGCTGGCTTAGGCCTGCTCCCGAGTAGCAGAGGGCAGGCCCAATCCTTAGGTGCAGCCCCTGGTCGGGCTCAGAGCAGGGCTGATTGGGGAGTTGGGGCGCCGCCCCTGTCATGCACAGAGCAGGGCGGATCGGGAGGTTGCGATGCCACCCTCAGTCACACTCAGGGTAGGGCTGATTGGGGGGTTGGGGCACCGCCCCCTGTCACGCTCAAGGCAGGGTCGATGGGGAGGTTGTGGCGCCACCCCCTGTCACGCACAGAGCAGGGCCAATCAGAGGGTTGGGGCTCCGTACCCTGTCACGCACAGAGCAGGGTCGATCAGGGGGTTGGGGAACTCCCCGCTGTCATGCACAAAGCAGGGTCCATCAGGGGTTTGGGGAGCTCCCCCCTGTCACTCACAGAGTAGGGCCGATAGGGGAGTTGGGGCACCGCCCCCTGTCACACACAGAGCAGGGCGGATCGGGGGTTGGGGCGCTGCCATTGTCACACTCAGGGCAGGGCCGATGGGGAGGTTATGGCTCTACCCCGTCACACACAGAGCAGGGCCCGTGGGGGTGGGGGTGGGGGTGCCGCACCCTGTCACACAGAGCAGGGCTGATCAGGGGGTTGGGGCGCCGCACCCTGTCACACACAGAGCCTCAGGGCGATCGGGAGGTTGGGGAGCTCCCCCCTATCAGGCACAGAACAGGGCTGATCAGGGGGTTGGGGCGCCTTCCCCTGTCACAAACAGAGCAGGGCGGATAGGGAGGTTGTGGCCCCACCCCCGTCACACACAAAGCCGCAGGGCAATCAGGGGGTTTAGGCGCTGCCCCCTGTCACGCTGATCCCGGTGCTGGGAGGCATATTACCCTTTTACTATATAGGATAGAGGCCTGGTACACGGGTGGGGGCCGGCTGGTTTGCCCTGAAGGGTGTCCTGGATCAGGGTGGGGGGTCCCCACTGGGGTGCCTGACCAGCCTGGGTGAGGGGATGATGGCTGTTTGCAGCTGGTCACACACCCTTCAGGGTGGGGGTCCCCACTGGGGTGCCTGGCCAGTCTGGGTGAGGGGCTGAGGGCTGTTTTCAGGCTGGCGGGTGACGGAAGCTCCCAACTGCTCCTTTTTTTCTTTTTTTTTTATTCTGGGCCAGCTTTAGCTCTGAGGCTCCAGCTCTTAGGCCTCTGCTGCTGAAAGCAGGTATCTGGTTTGTTTCAGTTCTATAATCGAAACAATGTATAACTCCAGCTCTGAGATCCCGGTTCGCTGAAAGCAGGTTTCTGGGGTTTTGTTTAGCTTCTATATTTGTTACAATGTTTCAAACTGCAGGCTCAGAGGCCGGCAAGGCAGGCGAGGAAGGTTGGTTTCCTCCATCACTGAAGCAAGCAAACCTCATGTTAGTTTCAAGCTGCCTGGCTGCCGGCCGCCATCTTGGCTGGCAGTTAATTTGCATATCTCGCTGATTAGCCAATGGGAAGTGTAGTGGTAGTATGCTAATTACCATGTTTCTCTTTTATTAGATAGAATAGATGATCTCCAACTTCCTCCTTTCCTTTCAGTTGTTAACTAAACCCTGGATATTTACCATAACATCTGTACTACTGCTATCCCAGTCCAAGCTACCCACATTTCCTGCATGGACTGAGTCAGTAGCCTAGTAAGTGGTCTTAATTCTACTCCTGCCACTGCACCTTCCCTCCAGTGTTAACTTCAGGCATAAGGCAGAAGATTCTTTTGAAAACCTACAATTTCCCTACTTAAAAATGTTCAGTGACTTTCTGTTGCACATTGAGTAAAACGAATTCTTACCACGGTCAGCCCGGCCCACGTTGGCCCAGATTACCTCTCTCCCTTTACATGAGCTCCAGCACTCTGACAACACAGATAACCTTCTCCTGTAGAATTTACCACCTCCTCTTTCTCCCACATGGCTGCTTTCTCTCCAGATGTTCTCAAGCTCCTTATCAGCATTCAAGTCTCAGGAAGGCAGGACAAGTGGTACAGGGAAACTGAGACAAATAGCTGTGTTATGGGAGAATTGCCTGGATTGCCCTTTTCCTTTGCTAATGAGAATGGAGTTCTTAGGGTACGACTGGAATAAACATTTCTGGAGGCACCCACAGGAGGATGAGATGTGGTAGAAGTTTATTTGCATGGAATTACATCCCTGGGGATTAAAAGTGCTGAAACCAGTCCTGAAAGATGTGCAACTAGGGACTCAGCAGAGCTAAAAGCAAAGCCAGTGCCTGGAGTTTCCATCCCATAGTGAAGCTGGGTCCGGCGCAACATCAGACTAGTTACAGTCTATCAGTCCAAAGTGTGGCGTCACACCCTCTGCAACAAGAGAGCCAGGAGCCCAGAGAGCACGCTAGAGCGAGCTCCTTTATTTTGGAGTTTAAATATCAAATCTTTCCATGCAATACCCATGTGTATTCTGGCCAATGACCTGTTTCCAGGTGTGACTGACAGATAAGAACCTTCCCTACGTAACCCAGACTACAGGGCATGCATCTAGTTGGCCTTCCCTTTGCTCCTTTCAGGCTGAACAAACTGACAGAGCAATTTACAGCAGATACAGAAGGCCACCTCCTTAGAAATAACATCTAGGCCTCAGTTGTATTTCAGCTCCAGGCCCAGAAAAGCAGCAAAACCAGGTGGGCAACACCTGGACCAGCGACAATGACTAAAGACCCCCTGCCCTGTCACTGACCAATCAGTGAAGACCGTGACCTTGAAGGAGCACACCTAGAAAACTGATGAAAATTCTGCTGAAACCCTCCCGGATGCCTCCTCTAAGATTCCTGCCTGCATAAAAATGATAAAAGCCTCAAGACAAAGGACCCAGCACGTGCTCTCCCTCTGGGGAGCAGCATCTGCCATTGCTTTCTCCTTCCCCCCACAGGCATGCCTCTCCTAAACTCTAAGGGACCCTATGAGACTTGCAACCAGGGAAGCAATGGGGAGCGGGAGTTTGTC